TGCTGGTCACACAGAGTTTACAAAATACGACAATGTTCTTTGCATCTTAGACTGTGACACATTAATGGCAGTAGCTACTTACAGCTGTGGACAGAACGCCTCTCACCCTTATTCTCCTCTCTTCCTTTAGTAGTAACACAGCGTTACTTGCCTTAGTAACTAGTAATAATATTACCGTTTTAGAAAAGTAATTAGTTACACTACTAGTTACTGGGAAAAGTAATATTATTACAGTAACGCGTAAATGCCCAACACGGGTTATAAGCAAAAATTATTAAAAAGAAAGGCCTTACTTTTGTCAAGCTGGAACCATGAAATGTTTTTACATGAAAAATTACTATTATCAAAATAGTTGATACCTCCAATAACATTGCCCCCTAAAGCAAAATGAAAATGAAATACTTCGGGAACACTACAGATGCCCGGGCACACATCACAGGCCATCACCCAGAGCTGCTTTCATCCCAAAATTTGCCACATCGCCTGTCTTAGCACACAGTGGCTTAGAGTAGATCCAGAAATTAGCACCCCTATGTACAGAATCGAGAATTGATTTTGAATCGAATCGTGACTCATTAGATACTGAAAGATTCACACCCATAATATAACATAATATAATAATATAAAATAAAAAAATAGCCTGGTTCTAAATGCTAGATGTTAAACTATCTTCATCTGAAACTCTTTTACTTCAGCTCTACACAGTGCACAGGTATCGTAAAATCAGTGAGCTTGTTTGCTTGGAGATTTTGCCCATGGGATGAGCGGTTTGGACTAAAACATATAGACAGTGAAACAAAACATAGAGCTAAAGGCTTTAGAGCTGCAGAGTGAAGTGCCTTTTTTGGGGGATCGAGATCAGCAGTATTAGCAACCCTTTCAGGTTACAGGAATTAATGTTAAACATCTTTTAATAGTGCTTTAAAGTAGCTATATTAAGTTACTGTAAACACAGCATCCTGCTTTATATTACAAGCATTCAACTAACAAAATACAGGGTTTTATTGTGAAGCAGTCACAGAAAGAAATGTACTTGTCACTGTGGTTAGCGTTGACCCCAATCCGTTTTCAGAAATGCATCTAATTAACAGAACATACATTTCTGCATTTGCAACAAGAATGAGCTGCCACAGTGAGCTGTTAGATGAAGAGCTGCAGGCGACAGGCTGCACACCTCCAACTCCTCAGCAAGATAACAAAGTTCACCGTGTCCCATTGTGTGGTAAAGTACTTGCGCCGTGTGCAGCATGAAATCAGATTGCAGTTACAATTATCTTTGGCTGACATCTTTATTAAAACAACATAAGTGTGTTTGATTGCACTGTAAACAAATACACAAGTTGCTCAATTGTTGTCTTTCTGACGCTTTCTGCACTTGCTGTTACCAAGGTAACCCCGGGTGTTGCCAAATCAACCCGACCTGAAATCTTGAGGATTGTAGTTTTTCACCATTAATCCAATAACCAAACGACATATTACTGAAACTTTTTCCTGGATTAGAAATACTTATGTCAACTACAGAGACGACGTGCCCTGAAGACACTGCAACCAGTCCTCTACAAAGAGATTTTCTCCTCAAAACCAGAACGTAAGAGCCCCCATCCTTAACATGTGAGCTAAACAATCCGCTTATTCTTAAACAGTCTAAAGCCTGACATTCTACTCTTCCTCAACATCTCACAAGGCTTTCTGAGACTTGCCAAGGCTCTGGGCTGAAACCTAGGGTTGCTCCTAAGCCTTCCTCTGAGAGGAGTGGCTGATATGCAGTGCCGAACACAGTTTTGAGGGATAACTGGTGTTGTTGTAGAGCACACGCTGTTAGCCTAATTTGACAACAACTACATTATAATCCTTAATATTCCAAGATCATACCAATGTCAGAGGGTATTTAGCTCATCTCATATGGGACACTCTGGCATGTTTCAATGCAAATTCATATAATAAACAAAATTCCTTTTCAATCACAATAATTCTCTGCAATAAAAGAGTTGATTCAGTCCAAATTGTTTCCCATAGCACAAACAAATTTATGTTGTTGTTGTGTATATCAGCCCATAAAACAACTGCCTCTTCTCTAGCCAATCAGTCCATCAAGAAGCTTTCAGATTGCACTGATAGAGTTCTCATGGTGGTTTTGGTGCCTTTCTACTTGCTGTGCATCAGGTTTTAATCTGTAAAATCTGAAAACAATCTAGACCTTCCGAACTCCATGTCCTCCATCTTATCTTCTACTTCTGTCTCTTTCTTTTTGTCTCTGTGTCCTTCTTGCTCTGTCTCCTCTTCTCCTTTGAGCCAGTTTTCTGATATTTACTGGAATATATCTGCTTAGTCAAGTGTCCAACTGTGAGCTGAGGAACAAACAGAAAGGAACTTTAACTCTTAGCTTGTGTTGATTGAGGACATAAAGTCTGCCACACAACCACTCCAGGAAGAAATTACTTCTTGGTATTTGCCTAAACTCTTGCTTGATTTGCTCCAGATTACAAGGAAAGTGAAATAGCACAAATCTCATTATCCTCTCTTTTTATGTGAAGTATCTAACCAAAAAAAAGAAAGGACCTTTTTCTTTTTCTGATTCAGTTTTCAGCTTTTGTTTTTTCCACTTTGTTAAATGTCAAAGATCCATTTCCATTTAGATTGAACTTTTTGTTCTACTCTCGGGAGATGTGCGACTCCTGGGGCGCCCACCGAGCTATGATGACCACACAGCATTGGCAGTTTGATATCACCTAGGATCAACCTAACGTCACACACTTGGCCCGTCGCTAAGGTCAGTGCACCTCCTGAGGCCTGGAACAGACAGGCAGCTTTGGCAAGCAAGGGCAAATAAAAAGTAATACTCCCTTAAAGGCTGGTCATATTTCACAATATTTGGATGCGAGTAACGCAGTAAATTCTGGGCTCTCAGACTTAAAAGTTACCGTCATACAGAAACAGTCCCCAGAGTGTACAGAGATGTGGTTTACTTTGTGGCGGAGAAACACAAAAACAGTTTGTGTGGCGGACCAGTCAAGCAGTTGTATTTTGGTGTTAGAGTCAGTGTCCTTTAATCAGAATCAAAGACAAAAGAAATGATAGAACTTGCTTGTGTGATCTCTGATTAAAGACTCCCCTCTGATGCACTCATATCTGCTCATGAGCACAAACTAAAGGATGAATTCATTCATTTTCAGCCTCTCTTGGTGCATGTTCACAATTATGAAAGAACAGTAAATGTGAAAGATTTTCTGTGTGTTTTTTTTTATTCCAGCTACTCAAATGTGATACTGAGCTGCAGAGGTAGAAAACAACACAATTACATTCTAATGGGAGAAGCAAGATTTTAACAAAGCAATGACGCAAGGAAATACTTGCCAGCTGAAATTATTGGTAAACATACACAGATATGGCTGCCATTTTCTTCCCTAAGACGAAGCTACGCTATACTACACCTACGCTGAGTAGCAGACACAAAAGGTGATAGCTTGCTCCTTTATACCTCCAGCGAAGAAAACAACAGATTCTAGTTGACCCCAATTATCCTGCCTTCATCTCGGGCTTCGAGGTGAAACAAGAACAGGGACCTGTTGCTCTAAAGGGTGAAGCTGACTGCCAGGCACAAAGCTAGCTCAATACAACAATTACTGCTGGTACCAAAGCAAAAAGACCTAAAAGTCCCTCTGTCAAAATGTATGGTTGAAGGTTGTTATTTTGACATCACAAATAAAGGCTGTCAATCTTAAGAATATGAGCCTGATAGTATACTTTTTTATGTCTGCTATCCTTATAACTTTAAATGAAAATACAATTAACTAAGTAGTTGAATGTATTACTGTGCAATCGCAACTGCCCATGCAGTTATGCTGATATGTCACAACTCTCTCAAAGCTGCACAGCATACAGTGCAGGTAGAAAGATGACGCACATTTAAGCATGTGGACAATTGCAATTGATGTTACATGTCTGTGCGTGCATCACGTAAACCTGGCTGTGAAACCAAATTAATTTAACAGTTTATACTCAGTTTAGTAGCAATGCTGTCAATACAGAGGAGCAATTTTACTAATGGGGCCCCATTACAAACACAGTTTATTTGCCTTAGCTTGCTTTCTATGTGGTGAAGAGGCGATATGGGGAGTGAAACTAAATTAATTTCAGTGATTGTGGACTTTGTGACTGGGGAATAGAGCAGTTAGCTGATGACGATATTGTGTGAAATTGCTTTTTATGTGGCCTGAAACACTGATACACAAAAACAAACCAGCCACAAATGTGAATTCCACAGACTTCCATACACAAAGGGTTAGGCTACAACTGGATGCTCCTCCAGGTGAGTTTTCCCATGTCAAACACTGAACGTGCAGCATCAGGCCGACTCTTCCTGGCTCTATAATCCTTTGAGTGTGAAAGCACACACCACTTAGCCCAAGGACAGATATTAATGATAATCTACACAGGCTAAGCAGGCATGGTAGCGATACAAACTGCAAATCAGGGGAGCCGACTTTGTACTCTTTTTTTTTTCTTTTTTTCATTCAAGTCATTCCAGATAACAGGACCTGGGGCTTTTGTTCAGATCATATCAAGCATAAAATCAATAAATGACACCATCATGATGCAAAAAAGATGTAATACCTCCAGGTTAGACAGACAATTAATAATTCATATTTATGTTAGTTTTGAAGGCTGCGCCTATGAGGCACCACCTCCTTGCAAAGTGTCATAGATATCACTGTGTTGGGCTACCCTTGTATCAGTGTGTATTTCTTAAACTTGTTTTTTGCAACCTGTTAACACAGTCTGTATGTCCCAGTCGTTTAGCGGTGATGTGTCCATGTTGCGGCTCAACAGAGGGACCTGTCCAGCAGTACACCGCGGCAAATGAACCTGAACACAGCAGTTCGGGGTCATGTAAAGGCACACTGACATCAGCCATGAAACTAAATGTCATCGCCTGAGCACATAATGCCAGAGTCGAATTTTTTCAGAGAAGAGAAAACTCGGGTTGAGGCTTTACTTACACAAAAACTCCGAAAAGCAGGACTCGGATGCCAATCTCCAAAGCCAGTTCTCGCACGTTTTTCCTGCGGTCTGGGGGCGACACGTTCATGGTTCTGGGATAATCCGTCAAGTGAAATAGACAAAGGGGGTCCCGGTCAGTTCTGAATCTTTCTCACTTTGTAATCCACCTTAACAAAGCGAGCGCTTTGGGAAGCGGTGCTCCCTAGTCACACACGCCGTGCGCTTCCATCGCGACTCGGTCACCTGAAGCAGTCTTCCCTTTTCTTCGCCTTCGCCTGTCTCCGCTGATCTCCGTCTGTTTCAGTCCCCTCGGGCGATTTTCTTTATTGCAACTCTGTTGCTGACAGCTGCTCCTCTATCGGTTGAAAGTCTCCTTCTTCTACTCCATTATTTAGTCTACTTAAACTGGGTAAGAGTTTTGGAAGCTGAAGACATTGTCAGATATGGGAAAACATTAGAGGTGTGGGTTCTAGTACTGCGAGGGGAAAGTGATGGGAGAGCTAAGTAAGGAGACTCTAAGCCTCGCTGAGTGTGTGTAGAGTCAGAGTGGGTCTCTCTCTCTCTCTCTCTCTCTCTCTCTCTCTCTCATCCCTTGGCTTCACTTTGGAGAATCAGATGATGATGAGGTTTCTGGAACAGTACCACTCTCAGGACTTCCAGTATGAAGGATGAATGAGTTCAATGCTTGTCTCCAGTAATGCGATAACATGAATGTTTTCTTGTATAGTCTAAAGCCAACACATTGCTCCTGAACAAACATAAATATTGAAGCACTCTCAGTAAATGTGACACTAACAAAGTAGACCACCACTCCCGGCAGAAGTTCATAGCAGGAGCATTGTCACAGCGGTGCGACGGCTGGTGGAATTAGGCTCAACACTCAGCCTGGCATATGATACTACATTAATGTGCCAAAAGTTCAGGGAAGCCCTGCTCTCTGTTGGCTCATCCCCATACTGTCCAATCATACCACAAGAATTCATTACCTCAGGGTCTATGCAGCCAGACAGTGATAAAGGAGCATGGGCAGCAGCATACCTGCAGGCCAGGAAACCTGGCCAGCACTTCATACACATGCATGAATATTTCATGCCTTCTAAAACTGGCCTTCCTGCATTACCTTACAGTCCAAGGTTTGCCTCTGTGTGTATATGAATGTGTGAGAGAGGGAGAGACCATTGTGGGAAAAGCCCCTCACCCAAAAACCTTCCTGCCGCCTTTCTAGCTCACAAGCTTGACAAGCAGGAAACTGAATATATATGAATAAGATAAATGAATGTATGAATGCTCGCTCACAAACACGTGCACACACTCAGGTACACAATGGAGGTTTTGATCTATTCCTTTGTTTCATGCTGTAGAGTCTAGGTGATGTGCCTGGAGTCTTTGCCAGCTCCCTAATAAGTACAAAACAAAACAAGAGGAGATGTGAAATGGTGGTAGGTTAGGAGGTGAGATCTAACTTCAAAGCTTTCAGGGAGCCATCAGACTTCTCAGCTTTTAGAGAGTGTGGCATGTTTATTACGAGCCATCAACAAGGTTTTACCTTGCAGCATCACAGTACTCATGATTCAGATGATTCACTCCGGTCAGGGAGGCTTTCAAGACCTTTACGAGCGTTGGCACAGGACTACATAAACACTCAATTGTAGGACAGAGAAAAATATTACTTTTGTCTCTCCGGTTAATTCCATGCTAACTTATTCTTTCTTGTCAAAAAACAATTTTGCAAGATGTGAAAAGGCACATCTCTATCCTTTTGTTTGTTTTAATTGCATTGCAACATTGCAATTTAATAATTCTATTTCCTGGATCCACCTCTTGAGATATTGTTCTTTCTCTGCTGTGTAGACTATGAGTCACATTCCCTGAGGTTGTGGTTACACCACAAGTTTAGACATATGGCAGACTCAAAAATAGGTTGTACTTCTACAAATCAAAGTTGAATGCATGATTACAAAGTGCTCCTAATATCCTCCATGGGTATGGGTGAATGTACTGTCCACTGTTGAGGATATTCTCTGCGACAGAGTGACTCATCATGCTACATAGAGATCGGTCCATTGCTCCCCGAGATGTAAGCATACATCTCTCATCATTACACTATGGGTGAGGTTTTATTAGAAAATGTCACTCATTTGTGGTTTATTATATACAGAACTATATCATTATGTGGGCAGCATTTTTGCATGCGGAACAACCTAAAGGGGTGTAAGCTTTAATGCTGTTGTGTAACGCTGTCAGGTTATGTCCATGGCTTAATAATATGTGTAGCTGGACAAAAAAGGGACACAAAGATGGAAAATTAAGTTGTAGTCCTTTTTTTGAGCCCAGTAAAGGGTGCCACAAAGGGGAAAGCAACACATTTTTATGTTTTATTCTTGGAGTTCTATAATTAGTCTCTAAACGTTTGAATCAGCTCGTAAGCTCAGATTGCCAACTGTGTCCATCGATTCAACTACTCCCCAAAGTGGAGAGAGACATATTTCACAACTCAGAATGGTTGGCATCCTTTATTAGTGTGGCATTCCTCAATAAAGGAATTAGTTATCCTGATTTTTGTTGCCAGTTTTGTCATTATCTAACCTTCATGAACTTTGCGTTTTTTTGTTCTTGGTATCTTCAGACAATGAGGCAAAATTATTACATAAAGCAGCATAATACAAGTGTTTTAAAGCCAAGCAAATACTGATTCAAGCATCATATTTGCATCATATTTAGTTTTTAGCCATTCTTTTCCCACCCATCACATGTTCATTCTCTGCCTATAATGTGTACTGTACATGTTTCCATGTAAATACATGTATTATGAATTATAATTATAATAATGTTTGGAAATTTTACACCTTTTAGATGTTTTTTCTACCTTGTAAATTTGTTAAAACAAAACTATGTAACTGAACAGCCACTGCAGGTACAAATGACAACTATGGGATAATGCTACATTTTATTTTTATTTACCTTGAATGCTATGCTTATGTAATAGAGGCACCCACATGGAAAAGAATTATAAAGTCTATGAACTGACTCAGTAATGTCCATTCTACAGCAATAATGACCTAACATTTGCTAACACAGCTTACATTAGCAGTACAGTAAAAAAAAGAGTAAAAAAAGATTTATTATATTCAGCAACAGTGTTTTTAATGTAGTGTAATTGTTTATGACTTCACCTTTTCATGTGTGTTATTTCTTCTGTCAAAAGTTACGGACTCGATTAGTAGTACTTAGTAAGGGGTGTAGGTCATTTGAAACAGGTTTGTGACATAGACCTTGCAGTGTCACAAGCAGGTGCTAAATACTGGCATGAAGGGAAACTGTTTGGCTTCAGAAAGCGTAGCTCATGCTTTACAAACTCTTTGGAGACATTTTATGGTCAACTTTTCCCTCTTTGCTATGCTTCACAACCAGGCCGCGAAATTAATCTGATTATTGAGGTAGGAAGTAAAATACCATATAGTTTTAATTCTTGAAGCCTCTAAAATCTGAGGGAAATCACTAGATGAACTGAGATTAACTGCTCACAACTCACCATCATGCATTCTGTGATGAAGATTCAAAAGACATTAATTTATATTGAGGGATCACAACTTTGAAGACTGGGAATCATTGCTAAATAATAACTGTTTTGAAGTTGGTTGAAATAGAGTTGCAGCAGCTAATTTCACCCAGAGTAAATTTAAATGCCATTTATTTTGGCACCAGCCTCTTTTTTAGTCACTGCCTGTGAGTGGAAGTTTTTAACCACCCAAAGCAAAGAGAAGGGAGGAATCAATAGACCATTTCACTGGAATGGGACTGCTTCACAACAACAAGCTGAGTCCAGGTTTTCTTCTTCTTTTGCTATTCCTGTGATCTGTTGATATTAACCGTTTGGTTAGAGCCAAATTATGATCTTTTAGGTGGATTATTGCTTTAAGATCCTATGGCAAAATGTTTATAATGCATTCACTAGCATACTTGTTTATGGTGAGACACTGGATCGATACCATATGATAATCATACTGTATTTAACACACACCCTATAGTGGAAACAGGTTTTGATCTAGCTTACAAATTGTCATAATTGTTTTACTCTTTGCCCAACCCCCTCCAAGCTTCAGTCAACCAGACCGTGTTGAAAATAAAATTCCTGCTGTCAAAATTGAAGCAGAGCTTTCATAATTTGTGAAGCAAGCCATGGCCAGGTTTTTCTCTGGGTCTCAAGTGAATTGATTGGCAACAGTTAGACATGAAGGACTTAACATCGTCAAGTCATCTTGGCCATGATTGGTTCCTGCTCAGAGCATACTGGATGGTATTTTTAGTTGGTTGTTAGCTTTTAGTAAAAAAAAAACTTGACCAGTTTGCATCTGTCCTGGTGAACAAAACAAAGTCTGGTCAAATCATAGCTGTTGATAATGTACGTCCCATGTTGTTTAAGCCATTAAGTGCAAGCCTGTTAATACCATGCTTTGCAAAGGTTTAGTATTGCTTAGTTCAAACAAAAGAGCAGGCTTCCACAACAGCAGTACTATCTTTGCTGCACAACGTAACAATTACCTCTAGTGGCTGGAGAGGGTGACAACATGCAGAGAGTTCTGGAGATTTGGAAGTGTCAGGTCACCCAAATCACGCACTCACAAAGCCTTTCTCACTTACCCCTTCTGGAATCTCGCTATACATCGTTTCTGTCTAGGCTGCTAAAGCAACCACAGGAGGGGAAGTCACAACTAGAGTGAGTCACCAAGGAAACACGGAAAGTCATTTAAAGAAATCTTTCAACTGAATTATGTTTTTATGGTGTGCTTTTTTTTTCCCCAGAACTTGGCCCTGAGTCAGTGTTGCTGAGACTGCATGGAAATTTACTCTGAATAGCAGGTCAACAGTTGTCCCCCAGTTGTCAAAGCATGTCTGTGGTCAGTAATGCATATAAAATGTATAATAAATCATCGTATTTCAGGAGATAGAATCTCTAAGCCCACTCTGTGATAAGATGTTCTTATCACTGTCTTCATTTAGGTCAGATGTATTACTTTGAAAACATCTAAATATAAGCAAATGGCTCTGGAGCTGTAAATGTTTGTGGTTGTAAGTTTGTTCGAACCTGTATTCAGTAGAGGCGGGATGTTGAGATTGAGGAAAAGAGGGAATTTAGTGAAAAGTCTCTTTCTATCACTGTCCCTCATTTTTGTGTACTCACGATCTTGTTCTGGGTCTTTAAGCATAATACAGCTTGACTAATCTGATAATCATCACACTTATCAGTGCTAATGCCATCAGTGAAATTAGTAATTAATGTCAGCTATTAGTTCTGCCTTTGAAAATGACACACAGTGATGAAATATTAAACTGTGACAAGAATAGGAATATTCAAGCTGCTCTTTTTGTCTGGCCTACTGTGGTTTTTTGTTTGATTTGTAAGTCCACCACAGTGTCATCCATTTGCCCTATTGTAATGTAAGTTCTTAGATTGCTATTGCAGAGAAGGCCTTGCTTCAGGGTGGATAAATT